AAAAGGCAGGATAGAGAGTAACTTTCAAAAACAGTAGCAAAAATCTTACATGGCTCACATCTGAATCATTTTGAGATTGTGCAGTGTAGAAAATAACTCTCCACCAGAACTTTTTTTCCTCCATGTTGATCTGCTGTTGCTCTTTTTCCCATGCTTTTCTTTGAGCCACTCACTCCGCCTAAACGCATGCCTACCCCAGGCCCCTAACTGTGGCTACAGCCCCGACCCGGCCCCAGCTGAGCAGTGCCAAGCTGTCCAGCAGTTAGTTAGTGTCTGTTCAGGCCCGGCTCGGCCCAGCCCGGCCCGGGTACTAATCCTCGGGCTGTCAGAGGACCCCGCTCTGAACTCATCCTGCAACACAGGAAAACGCTCTAATTGGGGGATTTTCTACATCATTAACTCTGATGAGCAGCCATCCCTCCCTCCCTCCTCCTCTTCCTCTCCACTCTTACTCCCTCTGTCTCTCCCTCGTTCTCTCTCTCTCCCACACTTTTCTCCTGCTTAATCTCTTTCTTAATGTTTTTCTTCTTCCTCTCTCTGACTCTGACTTCCTCACATTCTCTGTCTGTCTCCTTTCATCCTTTCTTGTCCTTTTTCATTTACTCAGCGTAATGTTTGTTCATCAGATGTGATCTGATAAAAATTAACATGTCAAAGTAGTGAAAGTGCAACAAGTCTCGTTACACTTGATATAGAGTAAAATACAATTTGTTTGATCCCTGAAATTTGAGCTCAGACATGAGTTTTCTCCCACAGATCATTTTCTGTCACATGATTCACAACTGCTTTTGCCTTTGCCTCATACCGACAACCAGTCTGTGCCTCCCACATGTTACCATTACATTTGAGTCACAGAGCCAAGCATCTTATTCTCTGAAAAAGGAAATACCTTGTAATTTTTGAAAACCCCAGGCCATTCAACAGAGCTTACTATGTCCATTCTCAAAGACTTCTCAAGACATCTGGGTGAAAAAATATTCTGATTGCTGCAGGATAAAAAAAAGATTTTTAAACCAGCTTTCCAAGCTGCAATAGCTAGAGATGACATACGACCTTGTCTTTCCCAAACAGAAAAAAATAACACATTCTTTCATATAAAATAAATAATGAAAATTTGATAAAAATGAATAAATCATCTTTTCGTGCAACTGATGGAGGTTTTTTTTTCATCCAAATAGTTTAAAAAGTCTTTGAGGATGCTTGAGATGCCTTCAGAACAGCTGTTAGTGGTATTAAATGGCCTTCTGGGTTTATTAAAGTTCAACAAATACTTTTTATTTTGGGAAATTCACTTGCTCAGCTCTGTGACTTTATGTAATAGCAATTCATGAGCAGGTTTAACCAACAAGACACGTCAGGACATATAGAGAAAAGAGCATTTCCCTGTAACATCCACCGGCCTCTCCATATGGCCCTTATAGTGAGGTCCATCCATCTGTCCAAGAAAGTGATTCACACGCTGAGGAGGCCAGCTAGCACGGCGGCACCGGTCCCTCTGTGAACATGTGTTGCAGCGGCTGAGCCTGCCGGCCTGCCTGCCTGCCTGGGGGCAATTAGGGAGTCGGGCCCTGTGGTCAGAGGCCCCCCTGGGAAGCCCTGATTGATTGGAGTCTCATCTTCCTAACAGGCTGGCACGTTGCCACCATGGAACAGCAGAGAGGATTGGGAGGGGTAAAAAAAAGAGAGAGAGAGCAAGAAAGAGCTTTTATATGACACAGAAAGAGACGGGGCACAAGTGTTAGAGGAAAAGAAAGAAAAATGTCTCTGCCCATGTATGTCAGATGATAACGATTATGCTGTAGTAATCTCGGACTGCTCTTTAGACTTACTGGGGTAAAAAAAATACAGTGTGGGAATGAGTGCACAGGTCAACATGAAAGCACCACAGTGAGAAAGAAGAACAGATTCTATCAAACTATATTTATTTTCAGCAGATCTTCATTCTTTTTTCAGCATATGGACATCAATGATCCAGACAAAATCAAAAAGAAAGAAAACAATGATACCACTAGGACAGATATTACATGTAAGAAACAAAACAGGAAAACATCCTGAACATTTTCACAATAAAAAAAACAAACTAAAACTGTCAAACTTCTAGTGCATTTTTGTCCATTAACTAACCTTTGGCTTGCTCTTGCTCCAAAATCACATTTACAGTATTTAGCATCCTAAAAAAAGCTCTTAATGTGCAAGGTAATCCTCTATGGTGTGAGGTCCTGGCATCGTCCAATTGGGAGTCTAAACATCACTAACCAACAACATTTAAAAAACTAGATGAGGACAAACGACGAGCAGCAGATGGGTTAGATGGGTTTTAAAATGAACCAAGGATACACTTGGATTACTAAGTTGTTCTTGCTGCTGTAGTCAGTGTGGATGTATGACCTGCTATCAACACAGCTTTCACATATTGAAATGAAATATTACAACCAAACAATAGGTAGTTATGGGGGGAAATTTGTCTCCTTTTTTAAAAAATATATATAAAAAATAAAAAGGAGTCTGGAATTGCACTTTAAGATGAAGGATTTTCTCTCCCTCTTCTTCCATAACATAGTCAAAATGCCTAAAATGTCTCAATACCAAATACAAATCTATTTACCACTCATATAAAACACGTTGTGGTTAGGTTTGATCTCTACATTTAAGACAATTAGAGCTTGACTCTGCAACAGATGGGAAAAGACCAATATTGTGACTCTAATGACCATAGCAGCTACAATCCATGTTTCTCCTTTGATTGAGACAGAAAAAAAACCTTCCATGACAAAGTGGTTACAAGGGCCTATTTAGTGCAGCCTGAGACCATCCCCCCTGCCCCTCCAATTTCAGACAAAGAGGATACACTTGGATCAATTGTGCTGAACAAAGACTAAACTATGTGGGGTGACGCATCACACAGGGCTCTTTCTGCTGCCCTGCACGTACACGCAGCCACCCAACACTGAGCTGCCAACAGGTTTTCTCCTCCAACAGCCACTCAAGCAAAAAGAGGGTTACTCCGCTCTTTAGCTGGTATTCCTTTCTTTAATGTGTCCTTCATTCTTTAAAGCATCTCAGCAAAAATCTGAAAAAAGGTGTGCAGGATTATTTTTGGTATATTCTCAGCCGTGGTCCACTTAGAAGGTGCCATCGTATCTCTGACTCTAGTACACGTTCCCACCAAACAATTATCTATTTTACAGCACAGATGAGGGATTCTCCTCTCCCTGTTTATTAAAAACCACAACAGTAGGCCTCGTCTTCCTCCAGTCAAACCAGGTTATCTCAAATATCTAAACTGGGCAGCCAGTATGGCAACATATAAACCACACTATTATTAGGGGTTTAGCTGAAAGCCAGTTACACGTCTTTTTATAAGTCGACAGATTAGTGAGACAGTGAGGCGTTTAAAGTCACAGTCAGAGATGCTGCCTTGATTTTTCACAAGCTGCTCTTACATTAAACTGAGACTTTCATTCACAAAGTCCTTGGAGACTGATTAGCTGACCCATGAAAATGTGACAATTGGATTAATTAGTAAAAACACAAACTTGGTGAAAAAAAACGGGATAAAGGAAAGAACGAACAGCTGAGTGTAGGATGTTTAGTCCGACTTGATTTTTGACCGTTGGCAGAAATTACAGAAAAGTAATGAGATATATTTGGGTGATTTTCGTGTTAGCATAATTCCCTGTTCAAGGACTGCTGTTCTCTGACACAAGTTTTAACAAAGGGACATAATGTTCAAAATAAGTTTGTCAGGGTTCCTACACAGTATGGAAAAGTATGGAATTTGATTTTAGTAATTTCCAGTTCTGGATAAGTAAGGCTACATGATACGCAAAAACAATCATATTGCAATAATTGTGACAGATATTGTGATTGCGATATGAGTCGCAATTTTAGTGGAAATGGTAATTTTTGTATTTCCTTTATACTGGAAAAAAAGATATAAAAATGATGATGATGTGATTTTTTCTGGGGTCTGTAAACAAGCATGTTCCCTTACATCTGGAATATGATTTGTTGGCTCAAACATCTCTGTCGCACCACAACACTTCAGTTATAATAGTGTGTTCTGTCACACTTGACCTTAAATTGCAAATTAAATTTTGATAAAACTTATAAATTGTGCAGGCCTAATAAGTATGGAAAAAGAAAGGGGGTGTAAGAAAGTATTTGCTTTTCCAGACTATTGCCCCTAAAATATAAAAGTCAGAATTAAAAAAATAAATAAATTGAAATTGTGTTTTTCATGGTGTTAGGAGCAAGTAGCCAGCACAGCCAAAAGCTGTGACAGAGTGCAGGCCAGAATGAGCTTGATGTTGTCCAAAGCAAGGTTAGAAGGTTAGAAACAGCTCTGCCCCGAGCAAAGGTCCAGTGTGTAAGATTTAAGGGGATATATATTTAAAGAAAAGAAATATAGTGTAATAAGTATGTTTTCTTAAGTACAAAATTACCTGAGAATAGGAATTGTCGTGTTTTTATTTCCTTGAAATGAGCCATTTATATCTAAATAGGGAGTGGGATCATTTGCATCACCCTATTTCTACAGTAGCCCAAAAGTGACAAACCAAACACTGGCTCTTGTTAGGGTCACTCACATTTTTGTTTTGGCCACTCTATTTAACAGCCCACTCGCAAAAAGGGCATTGGAAAAACATTGATATTTTTTTTTTAACGTGAAAATGTTTTAGTCAGTGATTTTCCCGGTTAAATTACCAGGTCCATTTGTTTTGGAGAGAAAGAGACTTCCGTGGATAATTTGGCTCCTGGTAAAAACCTCCTTAATGTCTAGATCTTTAGTTTTCAGAGCCAAACAGCACAGGAGAAACATTGATTTGTTGTGTGAAACTGCTTAATTCAGCGATTTTACAAGTTTTAATTTGTTTTGAAGAAGAAGAGACCTCTGCAGACAGTTCAGCTCCCTGTAAAAACCCTCTGAACAATGAACATTCTAACCAGGAGAAGTTTCAGCTGGTTGTAATCTGCAATCCTCACTGCTAGATGCCACTAAATCACCCTTAATCTTACACACTGGACCTTTGGTTACACATTAAAAATATAGCTGTTTGTGTTCAGATGTCAAATAAAGTTTGATAAACCCACCATCTGGAAATTAGAGTCTGGAAAGGTGTGGAATTTTGAAATGGAAAATGTGTAGGAACCCTGGTTTGTGATGACCAAAAACCAACCTGTATCACTGGACAAGCTGGTCATTAATATAGATGGAACTATGCATTCATTCAAAGGGAAGTGTGTCTGTAAAGATGCTATTGTTTGTTATAAAAAAGTAGTTGTCAAGCAAAGAAATTTCCTTGTTTCCAGCATGCAGCTGTCACCCCGAAGACATTTACTTTAACACCACCCAAAGCAATGATAAACACTTTTAGACTGGAGGGAGAACGGACATCTGGTAAGTGGTGGTTGAAAATGAACATTATAACAAGACTGTAGAGTTCACTTGTCTGCTCCATGTCCTTGAGATGAGGAAAAATAAAAAAGAAGGTCCAAAGAAAGTCCTAAAATCCTTAGTTTTCACAATTCAAAAATCCATTTCCTTTCCTCTGTGAGTATCAGACAACTCACTGCCATGTTTTCCAACATTTTACTCAATGCCTGAGCCCCAAGAATCAACTTCAATATCTCCCTTTCCCAGTGTCGTCTACATGGACTGCCAGGTTTGTTAGTCACATGGGTTGCCAGGTCTTGTCCATAGACTGGATGTGTTCCTTGGCTTTCATTCTCAGAGCAGCAATACTTGAGCTGCGCTGGTCCACGTCCTCCAGGGGGTATTTATCAGGGTACGGCGCCGTGCACTGGTAAGGAGGAGGTGCCATACTCTGCATCCCCTGGCCCATGGATGGATGAGGGTGAGAGTGAGGATGAGGAGGATGAGGAGTGGAGTTGAGGAAGCTGTGGCTGGGGTAGCTGGGCTGGAGGCCCTGAGCTGGACCCATGAAGCCCGGGATGCTGTGGACTGATGTGGCACTGGAGAGAGGAGAGGACAGCCAGGGGTCCAAGGGGAGGGAGTTTGTTATTGGACCCATACTGGTGTGAACTGGTGCTGGGCGGTTGAAGGACAGCATGGGCGAGTCGTGGAGCTTCATGGTGCTGGCATCCATTTTTTCCTGCCGACGCCATTTAGCTCTGCGGTTCTGGAACCAGACCTGCGGGACGAAAACAAGTTATCATTAAGTGTACCTGAATATGATGGACACAAACAATATTTTCCACAGCGATCCCACTCAAAACAAATTTTTAAATGAATCTGTTGTTTGGTGGTCAGTGTGCAAATGTTTCTATCAACACGTCATGTGTGTATAGTCAACACATTCTCACTCCAACCTCGTCACATTTTGACGTTTGGTCAAGGACTTTCCACGTCCAGTTACAACGCTGTAAGTCAATGCCCAAGTGCCAGATTTTGACGACTGCGGCGAAGATCGGGCTCGTATAATTATGCTCCTTCAAGTATGTGGTTATCGATCATGAATTCTAAATGTAATTTCAAAATATTTGGAAAAATAAACATCTACTTAAACATTAACGCCCACAGAAACATCCTTCAAACTTAAGTTATTTCTGCCTACAAGGCCTAAATATTCTTACCCTGAAAGCACTAAACAAACATTTCTTGAAGAGTTGAGATTTAATGCAGTGGTGCCCACGAAAATTTTCGATGGGGTAGCCAGATGGGACCACTGAAAATCTTGGAGTGGCACACCAAAACCAAAAGCCATAACTGAATTTTAGGATTAGGGCCTGTGTCCACTAGCATTTTTTCTGAGTGCCTATATCTTTGTCAGTTGTTTCCACTGAGGAGAGACTGTATGTGACTAAATTTTGCCCCCCTAGAGGAAAAGTGATTTGCCCAGCATTATTTTTCAGAGCACTCTTGCTTCTTTGTGCTCCATATTTAGATCACATGATATCTGAATCATCTCTATGACAACTGAGCAAACTTCAGCTGCTGATGAAGGCCACGAGATGCAACTAAAATCCCCAGACTGAACTAAACTTCAACTCCTCACCGCTGAACCCCGTTGCCTCTTGCCAACCTTTGAGATGTCAATTTGTCTTAAGCCCTTTTGTTCTCTTAAAGAAGCCACCGTCCTCTTTAAAGACTGCATATTTTTGTCCTCACAGCACTAGTTAGGCTTCCATCCACATGTAGCACAAGTTTTAATGTCAGAAAATCCCCCAAAGAAAATGCCTACATATGTGCTTTTTCAGGAGGTGCACAGTAGCAGTGGGTGGCACTAATTCTTCAGTCAGGTGCCACTGCAGAAAAGGGCATAACGAGATGCATAATTAGAAGAGTGGCAATCAATCAATCAGGAGAACAATGGATGTATAATAACAGAGAGCACGCTGGGAAATTAAAATAAAGTTTAGAGCAACTAATGTTACAGGTAGGTGCTCTTGGAAGAGTTCTGGTAACAGCGATGTGTGCATACATAAGCATGTTAAAAGCCTCCAGAGACAATGGCTCAACTTTTGTCAATGCACCAACTTTTCCACCACTCCTAAACATAAAAAAAATTGCAATAATTCAAGTTTTCTTATACAGTTTATGGTGTTTCTACTCAGATATATTATGTGCAAATTGCAAATGTACATGTAAACAGGTGGATGAAAACACACCCACTGTGACGTTGACACTGTGTGTTGCAACACTTGGACGCAAACATCCTGCTTGTGTAACTATCTAGTACAATCTCCTCACCTGAATACTTGATGGGCCAAATCCCTGAAAGCTTGGCGTGTTTCTGCTGTGCACCTCAGCATTTGGAAACACACCAATTCAACTCTTTTGTTACCTGCCAGCTTGTGATGTCACAGTGTGATTATTCTACTGCTGTGATGGTGAAAAATTAAATCAAATCTGAATACTACACATGCTGAGTCAAAGGATTTCTGTGACGTTACAACAATAGACTTGAGGGGATTTTGTGTACCTGAACTCGGACTTCTGGGAGGTTGACCTTCATGGCGAGCTCCTCACGGCTGTACACGTCCGGGTAGTGGGACTTCTCAAAGGCACGCTCCAGTTCATGCAGCTGATAGGTGGTGAAGGTGGTGCGGTTGCGTCTGTGCTTCTTCTTGGGCTGATCGTCCTTACCAGGCTCTGGAGACTTGCCTTCATCACTCTCTATGCTCTTCCTCAGTTCATTCAGCTCCTCGTCACACTTGTTTGTGAACAAGCTGGTATCTGTTCAGCGAATGAGAAAAAATGAATCGGGAGTTTTTATATTTATGTTAATCAAAACAACGTATGAACTGAAATTCAGAAGAAGAACAAAAGCAGAGTGGTAAGCTGTAATGAAGAATGTCGTGCCCACTTTCCAGTAGAGCAGACATTAGTTTGACACATGCAACAATAGGCTACTGTAGGTCAGTGAAGCAAGCAATCCCCTGAACTTCAGTGAAGCTCGAAAACATTCCTAATCGGATTTAGAAGAGTTGTTTCTAGTGTTGATCTTCTCCAAAGGTAAACTGTCCCCAAAAAGGTGTTTGGAAACAAAACTGTTCCCTTTCTTTTTATGGACTCAACGTAATGCTGACAGTGGACGGCAAAACCACCAGCTTAGTTAATCCTCACTTTATGATTAAAGCATTAGCCACAAAAAAACCCTAACATATCCACGTCCTGTCAACATTTGTCATGACCAGCTACTGACAAGTTACTGTTTACTGACACTAGAAGATTTTAACAACTGTCTCTCTTTATAATCCTCCGAGACAAACAACTTCCCCTTAGTCATCCTCTCAGTTATTCTTCCTGTCCTTTGTTCCTAAACTTACATCATATTTTTGTGTATCAGTTTCAACAACAGAGAAGTACAGAGAGCATTACTCAGAGAACAATTAAGTCTTTAACCCTGTCATTTGACTGTATTAGTCTAACCAGCAAATTGAATTAAATGAAGTACAAAGATGATGATGTGGCAATCAGATCAGTTACTCTTGTAAAGATGCTCCAAACCTCAATCAGGCACTGTACATCATTAAGTTGTGTTGGATACGTATTCAGTTACAGAAATTAGGTTAAATTAACCTTTAATTACTCTACTGGTGATAGAAATTTGGCATAAAATAGAAAGAAACAATTATTTTGTCCTCATATCGCCCACATATGCCAATGGAATAATTCAGGATTTAGCATGAAACAGTAAATCTACAGTAAATCTCTTTTTGTCTGTCAGTATAATCAAAATAGACTTTATAAATTAACTTCTACAGTATATAGTTAGACAAAACAACTTAACCTGATATTTCGGTACAAGCTGTTTTTTTTTCTGGAGAATTCAGTTGTCTTCTTCAGTGGATGGAATTTACTCATTGAGTGGACTTTAAAGGACGAGCATGTAGGATTTAGTGGCTTCTAGTGGTGAGGATGCAGAACTGAAACTTCTCCCATGTGTCAAACGTACTATGGTGGCCGATGTGAAAATGCGAATGACCCTATCTAAAGCCAGTATTTGATTTGTTCGTTCTTGGCTACTGTAGAACAACAAAGTGACAACCTCCAAGGCTGAAAAATGAAGCCAATGCGGAAGTGCCAAGAACTACAGTTCTTTGAACGGCTGCTTGAGGCTGGCTCCAAAACAGAGTCAATCTCCATGTTAAAATGAAGACACCTATGTTAAAATGCCCAACTTTAGTGTAGAAATAAACATGTTTACAGCCTGGTACAGAAAATGGGTTTGGTCTCTAGAGCTAATTTCAACATTCATGACAACTGTAGAGGGTGTGAATTTTTTTGTAACTCAACAGTTCACATTTTATAACGTTACGGTGACAGGCTGTCTGCCAATAGTGTCCTTGGCTTCCCAGTCAGATCCACCACTCTTTCCTCCAGAGCACCACCCTCTTGCCCAAATATGGTCACTTCTTGCTCCAAACAAATCAAGATGGCGAGGGCCGAAATGCCAAGGCTTCAAAATGGCAGTCCACAAACCAATAGGTGACATCACGGTAGGTACGTCCATTATGTACAGTCTGTGAAACAACATTGTGAGTAGAGAGGCCCCACTGTGTATGTGATATAAAAGTCTGTCATTTTAAGGTAACAGTAACATAAGAATTGTTATTTAGGTGATTATGAACTAATGAAAACAAATTATAGACCATTTCTGCAAATGGATGCCCCTAAATCGTACAATATCAGATTTTTCTGGCCCCTTGAGGGCAGTGGAAACAAGTTGTGACATATCATTAACGTTTAAGTTAATATGTTGAACTTGTAAACTCACAGCTGTTTATTTACACATCCAGCCGTTACAGAGCAACATGATCATTTATTAGGAGTTGTCTTACTGATACTGACTCTCCTTTTAGCTCTGTTTTTGGTCCCCACCAACTCCTGAGGGACATATTTGGCTCTTTAGCTGCTAAATGCCATACTATTTTTTCACCAGTTAGTCACTAACTCTGTCTGTCTAACATTTGGTACTGTGCATGTTGTGTACAGTGGGTTTTCAGAGCTTTTTTTTACGGTAAACAGCAGCCTGCTACAGCCAAAACACAACAATATGAGAGTGGTGACATTGATCCAGAGCGTTACAGTTATGGAAACTTGCTGTAAAGCTCATAAAGCTTGAGGGGAGCTGCAGATTCAGGTAATAAGTTTTTCACTATAAGGACCATAAACCCCTTTACATTCTCACATTGTTTCCACATTGTCATTGGATATATTGTTAGTTTGATTATAACATGTTTAATTAAATTTTTTTAATGTCAAATGAGAGTCAAGAATGAACCTTCATGCTTAACTTCTACTGGTTGGAATGTTAACCTTCCTGATTATAATAGTTTGTATTTGACGTTTTCTTAGCATAACTGTTTGATACATGTTGACGACTTCACTGTCCACCTGTCACTGCTTCAGTAAAACAACCGACAGTATACGCATGTAAATGTGAGCATGTTTCTGTGACTGAGCTGTGTTGATGGAGATAAAGGAGGGGGGTCATTGTGGTCTTTCAACTGGCAAACGGGAGCAGAGGCAGAAGCAAAGCAGGATTTTTAGGGACTTCATTTATCCACCTCTCATTAAGCAGCCATGACAAAGGCCAGGCTCTGACAAAGGCAGAGGTCAGGACTGGTTCAGTGACCAGCTCTTGGCCTGTCAGCCCATCACAGCCACTGGTCTGAAGGCTGCCCACTGTTTATCAGCCAGCAGAACATCTCAGCTCAGAGAGGAGGGGGCCGACTGACACCAGACACAGAAAAGTTGCTCATTCAGGGGGAACTGGGCTGACTTCACAGGATAGTTACATACAAAAGAGTGATGTCACTGGAGTTGACGTACGTTATTCAGGAAAAACAAGTGTCCACAAAGATTTATCGGCTGAATTCGGACAACAAACACAAGATATATCCATCTCCAGTTCATTGAAAATACATTTTTGTGTCTCTACCACCAAATCACCAACCACCTGCCAGATCCTGCATGTGAAAATAGCTTCAGATTAAAAACGTGATTAATTTGATTCTGAGACAGAACGATAACAATAACACCCGAACGAATGACTGTACAATCTAATCTGCACAGAAGAGAAGATTAGGGGAATTCCACAAGGGGATGGGATTGGGTTTGGGGACATAAACCCCCTACACCATCTTGTCCTGTGATTTATCTCTCAATCTCAGCCCACACAGTTCACACAGTTAATGCATCAGGCTCCACATGGCAACAGTGATTCGGACTTTACATGTGAATGCTTTTAAATGGATGCAGAAACGCTGCACCAACACATATGATCCAGTGGTACCTAACTCTCATTCATGCAGGTCAGAGTAATTAATTATCAGCTGCTGTCAAACAGGATGTGATCCAAAAATGATGCTCCATTTTTGATGAATTAATTTTTTAAAATTGCCATGGCAGATTTTAAATTAATAGGACTACAGTGCAGATTTGTCAACATGCAAACTTTATATCAATACATGCATGTTTTGTAGTTGTTTTTGTTTTAGAAAGATCTCCTTTTGAGTGGCTAATTGCAGGGATAGATTACTGAACAGGCCAACCAGGCACAGGCCCAGGGGCCCTAACTGTAAGTGGGCCCTCACTTCCAAAATGTCAAAGAGATTCAAAAAGGCCACAAAGACATGTATAGGAACTGCAAAGAGACACAAAATAACTACAAAAAGGGACAAAACAACCACAAGGAGACAAAAAAATGAACAAAAAAGACACTAAATTACCTAAAAAAAAAAACACAAAACGACCACAAAGAGAAATAAAATCACCAAAAGACACCAAATTACCTAAAAAAACAAAACAAAATGACTACAAAGAAACACAAAATCACCAAAAACACACCAAATTACCTTAAAAATGACTACAATGAGACACAAAAATCACCAAAAACACACATAAATTACCTAAAAAACCCACAAAATGTCTACATAGAAACACAAATCACCAAAAAAGACACCAAATTACCTAAAAAAAGGACAGAAAACGACAACAGACACAAAATCACCAAAAAGACACCAAATTACCTTAAAAACCACAAAACGACTACAATGAGACACATAACCACCAAAAAAGACACAAAATTACCTTAAAAAAGACAAAACCACTACAAAGAGACAAAAAAAAATCACCAAAAAGATGCAATATAACTACAAAGAGATGCAAAAAATCTAGAGGCCTTTTGCATATCTGTGCCCAGGGGCCAATTGTCTGATAATCCGTCCATGGTTATTTGTGCCAGAAACAGTTTTTTAAGCTATAAGCTTTAGCAATATGTCTTTTCAGTGCGTGCTCTGTGTTATACATGCTGTTTGATATGCTTCCTTTCTTATCTCATGGAGATGTTGACAGTATAAACTCATGTTTAGGCTTTGAACTTTTCATGACATCACAGGTTGATTCTGGCCCCTGCATAAGTTTGAACCAGGAAAGACTGACTCTGTGGTGGTGGTCAGAAAACTTTATAGTCAGCGGTCAAAGTAAGATTTATTATGTTTGCTCACAGGCATCAATATCCTAAACTTCACTGCAGCAAAATCAATTCTATCTAATCCAATTTAAATCTCTGTAACACTGAACTCAGACCTCATACTTATCCAGCCTTCCCTGAGCAGAGGTGCTGCTGTTTGATCAATATCTTTGACCATCTCATATGCTTTGAGGCGAAAGATCAGATGATTCATAAACTTTATCCTCAATAACTGAAGGTTCTCAACCAACATAAAGTTAAAACCAGGTGGTGTGAAACTCTTCAAAGTGATACTACTGCAGAAAGCGTTGTCAGGATGGAGACCATCAGCAGCAGCCTGACTCACCGTGGTACTGCTGCTGCTGCTGCTCTGTGCTGCTGTTCCTCAGAGAGGAAAGGTGCCCGCTGTAGGTTGGGTGTGATGAGGGCTCCTGCTGCCTCCCAGGCTCTGCCAGGCCATCTATGTCCACTTTATGGGGTCGTGGGGCCCCAGCAGGGCTGAGCAGAGGGTCCTGGTCTTTACTGAAGCCCAGGATGACATCAATGCTGTGGACGCGGCCCCCCACAGCGACGCCCCCACCTTTCCCCAATTCATGGAAGTTGCTGGGCGAGAAGCAGCTGTCATCCACCATGCTCATGGTATCCAGTGATAAATGCATTCGAGCGTCCGGGCACTGCAATCAGAGGAAAGGGGTTTAAGTGAAGGACTGAAGGTACAGGAGTGGGTCAGAGATCACCTGGTTACCTTAGATGACTCTTTGTCCATCTATCTAAACCCGCTTATCCTCCGCAGAGTCCGGGGGGGCGGGGGGGGGTGCGCAAGTCTATCCCTTAGACTCTGAGAGCTACTGTACATACTGAATACTGAGTGTGCTGATGGATACTAATGACACAAATTACCTCTTAATCCATACTTTTAACTTAACCTACTTTTACGCATGATCAGTACTAACGACCGTACAATGTTGATTATCACAAGGAATTAATGCATTTAAAAAAAAATCATATTAAATTTCTGCATTTATATAAAACTAATAAACATTTCTCATGAAAACCAAACCCAGAGTCGATACTGTGTGCAGTAGTGGAAAGTAACTAAGTACATTTACTCAAGTACTTAAATAAAATTTTGAGGTACTTTACTTTGCTTGAGTATTTAAGATTTGCTATTCTATACTTCTACTCCACTACATATAGGAAGCCAATATTGTATTTTTACTCAAATACATTTATTTTACAGTGTTAGTTACTAGTTATTTTGCAGATCCAGATTAGCAATACAAATATAAACTAATAAACTGTGATGTATTACATGGATCAAGATAAAAAATCAATGATGTCTTGGTGAAATTCACAGCCTATATAGTAAAGAATAGCTCCACTGTTATCAGCTGCAGAATTAGAGTGACGTTAATCAATCATTTCAATTCATTATTGGCCCAATATGGCCTATATAATATTCTAAAAGGGCCATTCTGCACAATGAGTACTTTTATTTCTTATGTTTGCAGTATATTTTAATTCTATTTTTTTGTACTTTTACATGAGTAAGATTCTGAATGCAGGACTTTTATTGTAACAAGTATTTCTACACTACTCTATTACTACGTCTACCCACGTAAAAGATCAGAATACTTCTTCCACCAGTGTCTGCGTGTAACCAAAGGCTGTCTACTGAAATAAAAAAGGCTTTCTTAGACATATCAATAACACATATCTCATCATTTTACTCTTATATAATGTGTTACTTTCCACCACTTTACACACTCACAACAAAGGTTAGTCTTACTGGTGTCAATGTAATGTATGGTTAGTGTTAGTTGTAACTGTAGCAAAGGATCCAAATCTTTAAAGAGCAACAAATGTTGCACGAAAAGCACGAATGTGATGTCTGCAGTTATGGAGTGTTTCTATGCAGCACTTCATTCATGGCATATAATGTTAATGCATGTTGCTGAGGAACAAATGAGGTTTATGTGCTCGAAAAAATGGACGAAATAGAGCCTTTTGGCCAAATCTGGGACGTCACGCTGTGGTTAATTAAAATATACTTGAGTAAAGTAAGTCAAGTAAAGTGAATTGACTGAGATGCAGGTGGAAGTGATGTGTGCAAAACGGTGTTCTGCTGTGCAATAGAAATAATCAGACCTGAATAAGAGCAGATTTCAGTTGCACACACATAGAGGAGCAGGAGTATTGACAGAACAGCACCAGCGTGTGTTTGTTCAGTGCATCCTGAGATTTACCTACTGAGCACACCACTATCTTTTCAACCCACACATCTCCAGTTTCATGACGACACCACAGTTGAAGTTCAGTGTCAGTGAAAAGTGTGACAGCCATAAAACAAGCCAGTGGTCGAACCTACCTTCTGGAAGTACTTATGTTGAACTGTTAAAGTTGCTGATGCCAGTGCTCCACCTGTTCCTCTCAGCAGCTCACCCTCCAACTTCACTCTTCCCAGATCCGCAATGTGCACCGCTCACAGTCACTCAGCCGGCTCTGCTTACCTTGCATCTCTCTGAATAATTTCTCTGTGTGGTAAACAGTCCTGACAGAAACACTCCAGTGAAGTGCAACTGAATAAAGCCACGAAGAAGAAGTGCAAAGAGCGTTCAGCAGCTAAGTTCAGACGCCATGCGCTCCAGCTCAGAGAGGAGAGTGCAGGAGGAGAAAGACAGAGAGGGAGAGGTGGACAAAGCTGAGGGGGCGTAGGAGGTGAAACGAGGGGATTAGGAGAGGGTTATTAATTGGAATCCTTTCCCTATAAGAGTGATTGGCAGCTGGTTTCTGCTCAAGTAATTGTTTTAAATGTCATTTCCATTCACCCCACAGCAGGAGGCCCAGGCTAATGAAGCCTGGACAAGACTTTCTTTCATAGATTTATTGTTTTAAAGACAAAAGACCCACTGAAAGTTTTCACTAGCACACCCAGCCCCCCATTATGTGCAACTACATGAAAAAAAGGAACTTTGAAATGATAACACACAAGGTAAAATGACTATCAGCATAGAGACTGATGCTGACCTATCAATTTACAATAGAACAAATATTCTATTGTAAATTAAAGAGGTGTCAGTGATACATATTGACATTAATATCCCACCAACACAATATTTTTGTTTCATTTATCAAAACTGTAAAGGACTTAGCTAAATGAGACTGTCTTCTGTGACTTTTCCCTTATGTGATCAGTCTCGGTTCAAACTCCATCTAATCTGAAATGCTGGTACACGGAAAAATGAATTTATTTTAAAAAAAAACCCTTAAGTTTTAATAATGCTAGTGATCAAAAAAATAAAGTATGAGCAAAATATAGCAACTTATTTTTCCTATATTTAAACCTATTTTTGAATATTAAAAAAAAAAGTCCTCACACAATTTTCAATCCTTAAAAAACATTGATAATTTTGAGTTGTACAGTCATTAGCTGTTTTAAAATAAAGTTCAGGTTAAGCGATAATTACCTCCAATAATAATACTTTCATAGGTTGATTTTGAAAGAAACAATACAGTAACATCAGCTTTTCATTGTTTGTGGGGAGCAACTGATGAAAAATAACAAACCTACGTTCTTATTCTGTGTATTTACTCTGCAGGTACTTATTTTATTATAACAACGACAATTTATTCAATTTGGTGACAATCAACATAATGTTTCTATGTTTATTATTATCTTTTCTTCTGATAAATATTAAAATACTTACGTTTGTGCACATTATGAGCAAGACACTGTGAGATTTATTTTGTATTTAGCAGACTAATTCTCTTGAAAATTAGAAATGTAAAAATAAACCTGAACAAGTAGTGATTTCCTATACATGTGTTTAGCTGAAACCATTTGACAGCAGAAATGTTTTACATGTAGGAACCATTTTCTTTCTACCGAACCACACCTGCCAACCATATCACCACACAGTAGGATGCGTCATCTACTGTTAGCTCACCTACAGCACCACTGACCCAGCTAAATGCTGTAGCTCAGCTGAGGAGGACACCATATATATTTAAATCTCACACTGTCACAAGCATAAGCCTCTCGTCCATGAGTAGATGCACACTTCCTTCTGAACAGCGATACGGTTGGTAGGTGTATTTTGTTGGAAAGAAAATAGTTCCTACATGAAACTGCTCACAACAAGCTCTGTGGATTATCTTGAGTAAGCGGGTCATGATTTTTGGAAAGAGACATTGCTGTTGAGTTTTTCAAATATATTTTCTGGTGCTTTGACCACCACAAGCTGAGTGCCATCTAGTTCCATTATATTTGAGAGAAGGCAGACATCTCTACAGCTGATATCTCCAACACTCAGCAACTCACACTAAAACAATCTAGACTGATAAATAGCACTACAGGGAAGAGGAAAAATATGCATTTTTGATTTTGGGGTGAACTGTCCCTTTAAAGGCCTTTACTTGGAGGCTTTTTAACACCTCCCTTTTAAAGCTGCTGTGAGCTGCTTTTGACAGTTACGATGTGATGACAGTAAACAGACTCCTCAAGGTTGTGATGCTTGAAGTTGACTGCAACCAAAGCCTTGCTGCTGCTTCATTTGTGTACTTGAGTTCAAAAGTGTCTGTTAGCAGCTTTAAAGCAGTGGACTTAGCCCCGGCTCAATGTCACAGAAAATCAGCCACAACTCTGAAGTCGTAAAGAGATTACCCGTGACCTCAAACCTATCTATGGATAAGATAGAGAAACATTGATTTAACAGCTGATTCAGTTTCAGTCTTTACTATTGGGAGAATGTGCATGTGACATTGGTCATGGGTGGGTGAAGTGGAGATTTTAAATGACAAATTATCAGAACTAAAATGTAAAGTGGGTTCTTCAGATCAGGCAATTTATAATTAAGAAATTACTAATCTTGTTGTCTCTCACTCTTCAATTAAATTTACCCCTTAATGAACTGTACGTGTCGACCTTTAACTCAGTTAAATATTACATTTATGTACTGCGCTGGTTTGGAAGAAGGTGAGGCTGGATGGCGGATTTAGAAAGTGCAGGCCTGTGACACCAGAACTCTCGGTTTGAGTCCAGTCTCCTGTCTGTGGCAGCCCAGTCGCCAGAAAAAAATGTTGGCATTGTACGTCTTCACAAACCACAGATACGTTACGATACAGTATGTTACATAGGTATCATATCAACATTTCCAAAGTGATGTAGTTCTGACTGCATGTATGGGAGCTGTCTTAGTTATCAGGAATTGAGAGGATGGTGGATGGTGTAATAACTATGAGAGCTAGCTGCCAAGCTGTCGTCCACTGCAGACCATTGTTCAAAACCAACAACAAGTGAGACACCAGTAGAATTTTCAGCAGCGATTGTACCACCAAAACATTTTTCTTCTAGCAAGACTTCAGCAGTATTCCCAGAGAGACCCAGAAACATTTGATTTTTGTCGAGACATCGGTGGCATTTTCAGTTGTGATTGAGGTACCAAAATCGGGTATATTAAGCCAAAACATGACCTTTTTCTAACCATAACCAAATGTTTTTTGAGCCTAAATGTAACCACATGTAACATGTTAACCACAGCATTGCTGAAGTGCTACATGATAACATACAGATGTTCCATATCTGTGGTTTGCAGAAACATACAATGCAAACATTTATTCTAGCAAACAGGTTGTCTGTAGTTCAGTTTAGGCCACAAAAGCACTTTGGTTAAGGTTAGGGAAAGATTGTGATTTTGGTAATGTTAACAAAAACAAAGTTGCTGCCCAGACTGATAGATACAGTATATACTGCCACTGAGGTATTGCAGTAATTGCTGAATTCTTAAAACTCTTCATTACCCCTGTCCTGCTGGTGGAACAGACAGTACAACCTCACACTGTGCAGCCAAACTGACCAAAACTTTATTTTAAACTCTGGTTTAAATCCAAAAGCTTGCACAGATACCACATTTAAAAATTTATAGTAATAAAAAATATTAATTAAAAATTTAGATTAAAGATTTGAAATGATGCACAAGACATCTGGAATATTTTTCGCCTAATGTAATGATGCCTTCATAAAAACAACATTGATTCCATATACATACTTTATTAGCTTGATGACTAGAAGTTAGGTGATTTATTAACCTGACTGTAATGTGTGTGTAAATATTCTTTTACTTGACAACTCATTGGTGTAGTTCAAACTGTGAATAAAAGTGGACGGCAGACAATGATAGTCATAAAATCCAGGCAACATTTGGGTCAAACTGTGGCTCCAACAGACAAAGAAAAGTCTCATCGTGATTTCAAATTTCAGTCTAACCAGTCTGTTTGCAAAATGACTCTCACTGCCAACAAGCTTACGGAGTAATGACAGTCTAGGGTGCTCGTTTATCCCCTCATGATTTTGTTAATACATTTTTGTCCTTCCACTGTTATCCTAATTGCGCATAAATTGGTTAAGAAGGAGCAGTGCAGTTATCAAGCTGCTTAGTTTTATCAGATGACAATGTAAGTCCCCCTGATCCTATTAGAGGTAAAAGCAGCTAATGTGTAAATGCGCAGTGTCAGCTTACTGGGGGAAGTGGAGAGAGAGATGGCGGGGGGTTAGAGAGGGACGGAGGGAGGGGGAGAAAAAGGGTGATGGTGGTGGTGTGACGGGTAAGGTAAATTCATGTGATTCTCTGTAATGCAAAGGCACACAGTAGGGTCTGACTGCAGCTGTGGCACGGCGTTCTTGTCATGCACGACAGGAACGCCCACGTAGATCATTGGTTTGCGTAGGAACGCCTATTAGCTTTTGACATCCTTTTTTTTTTGCCCAGTATCTTTACTGACTGCTGTATTGTCCTGTTTGTGAACTCAGCGGCCATGCATTCAGTTGTAAATGCGATTTAACTCACTTTGTGTCAGATTTTTAAATCGTTTTATCCTCATTTGTGACTTTAATGAAACAAAGTGGGCAAACTAGCAATTGCTTAGAGTTATATTAACATAAGGAATTTGTTCTGAGTCAATCTTAGCTTGCTAGTTAGCTTCTTAATGCTAAAAATGTAATGCTAGTAGTGTTGACATGAACTGTAAATTTGCTAGCAGGGCTGTAACCCCCCCAAAGGGTGATTGATTTCATCAAAACCAAGCTCATGTAATGAATAGGAGTGCACTGAACAGTATCCACCAGCAGAACACTATCTCTGTGACAGGCCATTTCTGCTCCACATGCAAAAATGCAGTCCTGTGAGCACAGGGCTATGACTAGCATGAGCTAGACCCCGCCCCATGTGCTCACACTTGCTTGCTTGTCAAGTTGACTTTGAGATTTTGAAGGCAGGGATTAAATAGACAGTGACTGACAGGGCAGGAATATAGGATATAGTGTTTAAGGCAGGGCCCTGTTCGGTCCTATGAAAGTTGCTCAGTGGCGCATGAAGCCATAAAAGTTTGACTTCCGATTCGGAGAACACAACAGTCTACAACATCCTCTCGTACTTGGAGAGAGTGCTGTTGGAAGAATATAATTAGATCATTTACTACACCACAAATTAAGAGCATATACTTATCTATAGCAGAGCCATGTTGGAGAAGATGCAGGGCAATACATGTGGATAATACCCATGTATTTTGGCTCTGTCCTAAAATGTACAGTTTTTGGTAAATGTTCAGTTATTATTAACATTTTTGGCCATGATATACCTCAGTCATACATG